TTCTCCTTCTATCATCCCTAGTCATTGTCCTGCTCTCTGATGCATAGCAAGTGATTGCAAAGACCATGGCCTGGATCAGGTACACCTTTGTCTCCAAACTAACATTGTTGCTCTTCAAGAGTTTACAGAGGTCTCTAACTGAGTCAGTGACTGGGATCATGGGGGCTAGGTGTGTCAGAGACAGTGAGATTGGCACAGGACAGGGCAGGGTTCAGGGTTGTTGTACGCAGGCGACTCGACAGCACATAACAACAACAACATGGTGGGGTTAGAAAGGGAGGCATGGGCTGATCTCGTAAATCCCTAAAGGCCAAGGTCCGCTCCTACAAGCCACAGTGGTTGACCACTGGAAGCTCACATAATCCTAAAACAAACAAAAAGCAGATGGATGAGGCACCTCTTGAGGTGATTTATAATTTAATATTTAGAGAACTAGAAGTGCTGCTAGTGCTGACAAAAAGTTATTTTTTAAAGTTACCCATTATCTCCATAGACTCCCTGAGTCATATAAATGGGCTACCTATTTGGCTGCTAAAGAAAAGGTTAGAAGTTCAAGTCCTCCTGGCAATGCTTTGGAAGCAAGGCCTGGGGATATTTTCTGAGAACTCATCCACTGAAAATCCTGTGAAGCGCTGTTCTACTCTGGCACACGTGGGGCTGCCATGACTGAAGAAGCAACACAAGAACACACACAGATTTTTTAAACTTGAGTAAACTGGAGGGCTAACTGGAATGAGACAAATCACAAGGGGGCAGCCCTGTTAGGAACTCACTGGCCCTCTCAGGGCGGCGCATATATTGCACAGCAAACCAATGTCTTTCCTACAGAGTAAAAACAATGGTACCCAACTGAACAATGCTGCTCAATAATCTAACGGCATCAACCTCCTTAAAGGGCTCACTATGCCTCTTCCAAATTTCACATTCTGGGCCTTCAACTCATCCTTGTTCTCATTTCACTTAGTATTCATGTTCACCAAATTTCAAAAATCCAAGTGTCTTCCAGGTTTACCTTCACTGGTTATAATGGAAGCAGCTTGAATAGGTTCAAAGCCTTATTAGTTTGGCGGGGGGGGGGGGGGGGGGAACACCCTAGAAAAAGAGACAGCTGCAAATCAGATAGTTGCAGACAAGAAAGGCTGGCAACACGAACATCACAACATTAGCATCAGCTGAAGAGTCCCAGCTCATGCAAGAGTGGAACAGGGCCATGGAACGAGAAAGGGAATAATCTACTGGAGAAGACAGAATGGCAGTATGTTTGCATGGATCCAATTTCTTAGCCAAATACAAAATCAAAACCTGGGAGAAGTGAAAGGAGACCTTGGCTATAAAGGCAGCTAGAATGTGAAGATTCGGAAAATCTCCTGGCCTATGGAAGAGAAATGACAGCAGAATGTGGTCAGGATTAACTTGATGACAGCTAACAATTAAATTACTTCAAGAACAAGCAAGAAAGTGCCACACAAACCTGGGTAACACACCGGTGGGGCACCTATGACAAGGGACTGCAGAACGCGTTGGTGGGACAAAACAACCAAAGTGAAAGCCAGCAATTCACTAGCTAAAAATACACCTCATGCCTCAGGATCAGTGAAGGGCAAGGCCATAGCCAGGAAGCGGATGGTCAGCACAGTATCACTAAAGAAAGGGATGACACAGAGAGGTACAGGATTAGTGGAAAACAGAATTACACAAGGGAAGTAGGAAAAGTGCAATTACAATGTGGGCACTGAAATGAGTATTATTGTATAAAATGTGTATGACTAGTTGAATGGAAAAGTAATTTGCTTTGTAAACCTTCACTTAGATTATAATTAAAAATATAGACATTTACCAAAAAATCCTTTAGGATCAAGTTTAGAGTTAAATAAGTCTTGTGATGGAAAATCCAAGTTACTCACAAGCTGAAGTCAGCTCACAGTTTGTATCTCTCTCTCTCTCTCTCAGTCAATCAATCAATCAATCAGTCACTCACTCACTCAATCCTCTCCAACAGTTAGCACACTTGGCCCAAGAGCTGACTCATTTGTTTGGATCTTTTTTCTTTTATTGTGATTTAAGTTCATAAATCTTATCAGTTTTCCCTCAGTCATTAATACATATGTTGTTGTTTACATGTTGTTGTTGGAAGCAGGAGTGACATCCACTTCCTAAACCACATGCCTCTGGAAACTCCATGAAATTTAGACTAAAGGCTTCATAGTGATACTATGAGTCGTGCTCGACTAGATGGCAACCAACAACAACAGTAATGTACATTACAGTTCATAACATTAATTGTAATGCAACTCAACTCCTTGCCATTGCGTGGGAACTGACTCCCACAAGACCCTCTAGCGGGGTTTCAGAGACTGCCCTTCATGAAAGGAAACTGCCCATTTCTCCCCTGAGAAATTGAACCACCTGCCTCCGAGTTGGCAGCACAACTACTTACCCACTCAGCCACCTCAGCTCCCTGTAGGTTCCTTAGCCATTAGGCCATGGGATCAGGCATTGCTACTAATTAATTAATAAATGTAAATCATCTTTCTAATTGCAGCTAGTGAATCTCAGAGGCTCACGCAGCCTGCCTAGCTCCAGAAAAATCTGGAATCCATGAGCATTAGACATTCTGCTCTGCCCATCCCTTCTTTTCCACCACCACAGGGGAAGACACATGTGAGTTTCATCATCACAAGGAGAGTAATGGGATTTAAGAGCCTGTGAAAATAGGCTCTGACCCCTTGTCTGTCTGTCAACAACAACTTAATGTAATGACTGGTTCAAAGGGCAATCATGACAAAGGCAAGGTGACAAAGTCTATTTAGTCAACCATTAAGACCATAATCAAGTATTTCCTCCAGACATTTTCATCGAGACCAAAATTGTGCCCTGAACCCAGAGCAGGTCCTTAGTACAGGACACACCTAGCCTACCTTGTCCTTTTTATCCTGGCGGGCATACGGGAAGCATGGGATCACGGCTGTCACCCTGGAGGAGGAGGCGATTTTGCACGCATTGATCATGATGAGGAGCTCCATCAGGTTGTCGTTGATCTCCCCACAGCCGCTCTGAATGATGTAGACATCCTCCCCTCTCACGCTCTCGCCAATCTCAACGCTACGAAACAACAGTCACATTAATGTAGAGCAAAGTCCATTTGTGTCTCAGGGTTTCCAGGTCACTCCTAGTTTTGATGCCAGAAGCAGACCACCAGGCCTTTCTCCTGAGGTACTTCTGAGTGAGTTAGAACCATCAACTTTTCAAACAGTAACAACGCTCACCTGTCGGGAAAATTCTCTCAAGACCCAACGCCTGGAGTTTTATTGGTGCATGGGTCACATAGGCAGCTCTGCCTAGAACACATTGAAATCCCAGACTCGCATGAGGAAAGCAGGTATTCACAACAAACCACAGCTATTCAGTGCACAAACCACATTGTTTATAGTGTTTAGGAACCTGGGTGTTGTCCCTATCAGTTAGGCAGTGGTAAGAATCCATAGTTTTGTTTGTCTCAGAGTTAATTAACCGGCTTTTAAGTGCTAAGATTTTTCTAGCTGCCACTGAGTCCATTCTAACCCACAGCACCACCATGTACGTATGGGTAGAACGGTCCTCCACAGGGTTTGCATTGGCTGATGTTTTGTAAGGAGATTGCCAAGCCTTTCTTTTGAGGCACCTCTGGGAGTACTCAAGCTTTGGGGTTAGGAGACAACTGTCTGCACTAGACTCCAAATTCAATCCTAAACACTTATAAGGACTGGGGGAGAGGGAACGTCTAAAGACTGTCAAGAGTCCAGTAACAACATCCATTCCAATGTCCCAGGGATGCCTCTCCAAAGCTGTGTGACTTGGATTTTCATTCTGCCTGGGCACAGCTGCCCCCCTGGGACCCTCTTAACCTCCCTCCTGCACAGGATTTCCTATTTTCTGTACCCTCTTTCCTGATGCCATTTCCTTGTTTTGCTGACAGGCATCCTCTAATAACGTCTTGAAAGAGAGTAAATAGATAAATTCCTTGAAACTTGCATGTTTAAAAATGTCTGTTTCCTGGGCATACAATTCTAGGCTGAAATGGAATTCTATGTTGAAAAATCTCTTTCTTCAGAGTTTGAAAAAGCACTGCTCCAATGCAATATAGTTTCTGATGCTGCTGGCAATAATTCCAAGGGGATTATGATTCCTGACTCTGTACACTTGACAATTCTCTCTCTCTCTGGAAACTTGCAGGGTTCTTACTTGAATCCCAGGGTTCCACAATTGATGACCTGTCCTGCTGGGGTCTATGATTCTCTATTGTGTTGGGCCCTTCGTAATATACTTTCCAGCTACAAACTTAGGTTTTCCAGTCCTGGGAAATTGCCTTGAATGACTCCTTTCCCGATTTCATCTCCATTTGTTCTGCTCTTTCTGGGAGAGTGTTAAGCTCAGCTTCTAAAAGCTCCTACGCTTTGCCTTCCTCTTTCAGCACCTCTCCCTGCTTTCAAAATCACTCAACTTTCGCTTCCACAACGTTTCAATGGAGCTTTTTAAAAAAGTGATCACATCTCAATTCTAAAAAGCACTTTCTTATTCTCTGACGGGTACTTATTTTGCTGTTCTTCCTATTTTTTTTTTAGGGGTAGGGGTGTTGGGGAGGAGAGAATGAGACTTTCTAGGGTCCTCTGCAGCAAGGGATCACATGAGTCAGAGGCTGAAATCACACGAGAGGAGACTGCCTCTTTCTCTCAGAGTGGCTGGTGTATTAGAACCACTCGCATTGGGAGTGGCAGTGCAACTCCTTACCACTAGGCTACCTCGTGTCTGATATAGAGCCGGAAGGCTCCTGGCTGGAGGAGGGCACAACTCCAGGGACACCATCCCACTGCACTCCATCTCTTCCTTGACCTGCCCCTGCTTGCAATGGCCTTGATACCCAGAGCTGTCTCAACCATCTCTCCCAATCATGAAGACTTCTAGGATTGTCATGGAGCCACCATTGAAGTTCCCACCTACTTACAGAGTTCTTATTATGTGAGGATATAAGTCACTTATTGTTTAAAGTTACCATTGGCCACGTGCTTAAGTGGTGGTCCTGACTCAATGAGAGGTATGCCCCAATTTGTTCCTAAAAGGTTGCAGTCATGAAAAAACCTCCCAGGACAATCCTCCTGTCACATGGTGGGGCCACCACGCTGCAGAATTGATGTGGATTACCAGCGGAATGAGAACTGGAAAAGCCAAAAGCACTGCTAACTAAATTGTTTCTCTCTCTCCCCTTACCCCAAAACAAATGAAGAAGCCAAACTCTTCAATACCTTACATGAGGCCATTATTGTTAGTGTTAGGAAAACAACAATGAGTGTTGCTCTCTGCCTAACTGAACAGCAGGAAGGGTAAGGGAGCTGCAGGTGACAGGAATCAGCTGCCAGTCACCCAGAAGGGGTGACCTTGACCCAGGGCTGAAGAGGTCAACTCTTCCTAGGGAGCAGGGAGGGCTGGGACACTTGTCTCAGGAGAAGGTGCCCACACAGGTTTTCAACACAATCACCGCCTCGGAGAACAGGTCTCCTCTATGGCTTCTTTGGCAAAGGTACCTCTGTTACAGGGACTATTAGGGAATGCTTCAGGCAGAATATGAATTTAGCGGTGGCTTATGGGCAACCTCTCATCCTGAGGTAGGGACACAGGCAAGAGCTCCAAGCTGACATGCGTTCCTTAGACATAACAGATACACAGGTGCAGTCGTGTGTGCACACACGTACGTGCCTTCCAAGGACAGGTCATACCCATCTCTCTGATGTCACAAAGACTGCTAGGACTTCACAGGAACTCTCAAGCTGTGGCCCTCCCAGGGCCTACCCCCCAAGGAAGCTTCAGTCCTTCAAGGAAAAGGGCTTTTCTGTATAGTATCTGAGTATTTGTTTTAAACATTCAACACACATAAAATGTTCCCACTTTTATTAGATTCCCCCCGTTTTCCCCCCAAGCTCTAAGGAAGGAAATGTAATTCCTCTGTGAATAGCACAGCAAAAATGGGATGAAGTCAATCTGAAAAACCATAGTATTAAACATCTACAACTCAGGGATCCAAACCCTCTAGCCTACTGTCTGCTTCTATTCAATCCTGGAGCTAAGAACCATGTTGTGGCAGAATAACGACCCCCTAAATAGCAAATCTGTCTTGAAAGAAATACAGCCACACTGCTCTTTAGAAGTGAGAATACAGCCACAAAAGGACAACTGCGGTATAAGATCACTATTATAAAAACCTAAATAAAGGTTTAGACACAGATAGAATTCATCCTGGAGGATTAATACTGATGGGAGGGTTAGTTAGCAGAGGGGAGTAAACTTTTTTTTCCAAAATCAAACTATTATAATTATGCTAAATGAACTAACTCAATCCCATTAGGACAAATACTATATAAGACCATTATAGGACAAATTCTATATAAGACCATTATAGAACAAATATGAGGATCCAAAGGGGGCAGGGGGGAGTGGAGGGGTCAGGATGGACAGGAGGGGGACTGTCAATCAAAGGGTCACACAATTTAATGGGTGGAGAGGGGTGTGAAGGAAATGGAAAAGATCCAGTGTGGAAAAACAATGTATTCGAACTTTGTAAATAAACCAGTATAATTTTTTTTTTAAAAAAAGTAAATTGGGGAAGTGAGGAGGGAGGGAGAGAGAGGGGGTAAAAATGTGCAACAATGAATAAATGAAAATCTAATTTTCCTGTAAACCTTCATTAAAATCACAATTAAAAAGTGTTTTAAAAAATCAAACTATGTTAGTACAGAAAAATTTTGGAATAAAATACAGGACAATGCCAAAAAGAGATGGGAGAGAAGGGAGCATGGTGAGTGAGATTTGAGATCTCATGTGATCTGGAGGGCCAGTCCCTGGGGAGGGACGTCATGGGGAAGCAGGGGGACAGTGACAAAGATGAAGCCCCTCGACAAGGACCGTGAGGACAGCACAGGAAGACCACGCAGGGTTTCATGCCACCATACACGACTAGGAGCCTACTCCATGGCCCCTCACAACAAAACAGAGCCCCAGGAATCCCGCTGGTGCAGTAGTCCAAATCTTCCAGCCCCTATGTAGGTCTGGTCTGCTCCTGCAAAGATTGTTGTTGTTGTTCTTGGTGAAAACAAGTCAGAGGGACCCGAGCCCATGCCTAGCAGCTGATGACGTCAAACCTCCTGCCTGACTTTGGGTCACCAGCTCCCTCTGTAAACATTACAGCCTTGGAAACCCCTGGAAGTTCTAGTCTGTCCTATATGGTCACTGTAAGTAGATATCAAGTCAGCAGCAAAAAGGTTGGATTTTGGTTTTTTTAAACTAGGTCTACATCCTAGGTCACAGTTTGATATCTGTCAAATTATTTATTTATAAGGCAAAATTAAGGCTGCTAATTAGTTGATCTTAAAATATGGAAAGAAAGGGGAGGGGAGGGAAGGAGAGAGATGGAGAGGGATAGAGGGAGGGAGGAAGGGA